ACTCACATCAAACTGAGCTGGATGCTAGAGGCAGTAGGCTACTTGCTACCATAAAAGTTACTTATGTAAGGAAAGGTCACAGAAACCTGTCTCTGTCATTAGTCTTCAAACACACCCATTGAAGTTTAATTGTTTCCTTGTTCAAGTGTAAGAAAATCTCAAAGTGTGGTATACAGGCATGCCAGAAAATCAAATAACATTTTGCACACAAATCTCAAGTAGAAATACACTTGAAGTGACATATTTGGGGCCTTTCTTATGCATAAACCTGAATTCACTTCATGTAATACTGTGGTAATAACGTAAGTAGTTTTTCTCATCTGCTTCCAAAATGCAGAGGACAAACTTTAATATAACCAACTGGAGGTCTTGTTTTCCCTTCCCATTCAAATCTTGTACCATAATCAATAGGTATTTTGAATACATAAATACAGCTGAATCTGGTCCTTGATTAGTTTTTTTTATTTATACTACAAAGGCCACAAGATTCAGGGGTTGCCAAGGCAACACCTCTTCAGCCTCCTTACTTTATACTTTGATATGAAATCTCTCATTAAGCAAATGTATCAAAACACCATTCAGAATGACAGGCTATTTTACAAATATGCTTCAGATAACAAATTTATTCTTCTCCTAAATAAGAGAGAAAGGCTGGAACAAGGTTACCTTTTACTAAGGTGAAGAGAGGAGGGGAAGAATGGTATTCCAAGCTATGCAGGCTTTAGTAAGACATTACTACTTTAATATGACTTTGCATCCTGAGCCTTCTATTATAGCCAATAAATTTTGTATTACTTGGCCAAAAAATCTTCAAAAGGAAAGGAAACAAAAAAAACCAAAAAACTGCACCACACAAGTAGAGTCTGAGACTGAGATGCTAGAATATTGAGTTACTGAAACTAACAACTGTGTATAAAAGCTTTACTGAACTACGGGAAATGTAATACTCCAGCATAGGATTTTAGAACTAAAAAGCAGGCAAAGTTTAGTAAATCACAAAAGACTTACTAGGAACCTACTGCTGCTTTTTGAACCTAGATGTTGAGGTCTAAAGTGGTAATTAGCAATAAATCACTAGCCTTCTTTACTGAGCAGTACATAGCACTCTACCTACAGTTATGCTCCAGGATCCTTTGGCAAGGCCAGGCTCCCGCAGGAGGAGGGGTCTGTCAAAGACAGTTACTCCTGTGCTGTCTTTTAATCTGCAAGACTGAAGTCTGAGTTTCAGCACACTGCAAACTGATCCAGAATGAGTAAGTCATGGCTGGCTGGGTTAGCAGTAGAATGGCAATAGGGTAGTTCCAAATGTGCCCCTCCAAACTCTTGCTTGTGCCCTAGCATCCTCTGTGCTGCCAGGAGGCTTTGCAAAGATGCTATCACTAACAATCAGCTAATTCTACATCATCTGCAGGCATTTCAGTATAAGCTGAGAAAGCTGACTTTTCTGAAGAGAAGATTGTTACAAGAAAGAAGATGCACAGATATTTGTAGGCACGAAGAAAATATGAAAATTGACGTGATGGCTGCTTCTGTGTTTTAACTTATTCCTTCGCTCCCATTTTTGACTTGTAATTTCTTGTTCAGTTTTTCTCGCCGTGACTCTGTGACACACCGACCATTCACAACAGTAAACAAAATAAATCCTACGATGTGCCACCAAAGAAAAAAGAGCGAAATTCCCACTGGGGGGCGCATACAGCACTAGCAAAGCCATCGCTCCCTCATCCCGACAATTATGTCAGTTCCAGGTCAGAGACAGCAGCCCCCAGTCTGCAATGACAAAATAACACCACTTACAGATACTTCTACTTGGATCTACCAGCAACTCCTCAATTACCACAGAGGGCTGGTTTGCATGGTTTCTAGAGGAAGAAATCTCATCTCATTTGTGAAGAGTGGCACTGGAAAGCACCTTGCATGGCCGGATTGTTTATGGGCTATCCGTCTGCTGCCGCCTCAGTGCACTCACTGCTCAGTGTTCAGGGCATGGACTGTCTTGGACCATCTAACTGCATCCAAAGCTTTGCTGCACTGTTTATACAACTAGTTTCACTACACAGCCAACTCCTGCTGTAATCCCAAAAGATCAAAGTGGTGTCAGACTGTGGATGTGCCCAGAATTCCCAATTTCACACATAACAGAAGACTGTACTATTCATGCTGCTCTTTACTTCCCCCACCATCGTGTTGTTTTCTCACTCCCTAAATTGTTCAGGTGATGAATAAAACAAACAGTTAGTGGCTGTTCCAAGCCCTTCAGGCTTCTATCACCTTTCTGTTTTGAATGCAGGAGACCCTGGAGAGAACAAATTTCACACCTGAAGTTGAAGGCTCCAGAATTTAAAACAAAGAGCCTACCCCCCAAAAAGCCCCGTAAGCTTCTTAGAGACACATTCTATGTAGGACAACAAGAAGGCTGACATCAGATTCAGGTATCACGCTGCCATCCAATCAGTCCTGACACATTTCCATATAAAGTGGGCCATGGAAACTGGAGAAGAGCCAGTACAGCAGAAAACCTCCAGTGTTATTTTGCATAGGACTATGCAAATTCTTCACAAAGCTGAGGACTTTAGATCTGAACAATTTACTTATGAACTTTCACCAGCACTGAAACTCATATAACTAGCCTTAGAAGACAGCATATTATTCTGAACAATATTGCTGAACAAGTAGTTGAATAAAATCAATTACTTGCCCTAGGGATTTTTAAGACATATGTTTCCTCAATTATTGTCAGATATGCAGGTCAACAAAAAGGAAGATTGATTTCTGGATAAACAGAATAACTGTGATGTTAAAAAGTGGTATGAAAAGAGAAATTGTGAATGAAAGCATTTTAATGCCCATTTTAGTGAAAAGATGGGAATATTCAGGAAGTGCTTGGAATCAAGAAACTGTCAGAGCCCCATCTGTCCATCAATAGCACCATGTACCAACCTCTCCATCCTTAATGCTCTTATCATTTACACCTTGCTGATCAGGATGCATTTCTTCTTGTCTAGCAATATACTTGTATTGATTAACGTGATATAATGATCACGCTGGTTGCATCAGCAATGTTAAAACAAATTGATCTTGGCTAAAATATTCAAGTCAGTCTTATTTTTTCTGACCCAGTGCTGTCATCTCATCCTCTCACTGATACATGTTGTGCCCCAAACCGGTCTGCAGCATTGAAAAAGGAGAGTATCCCCAGACCTATCCCTGTAGAGAATCAGAGAGGTGAAATAACACGTTTTCACTGTGAAACAGGCTCACTTCTGTAGTGTCAAACTACTTCCTAGCAGTGTCTAAGACAACGCAACTAACAATCATAATTTTTTGTTTCCTCCAGGAGAGAAATTTTTGCCATTTCCTAGGGAGCTTTGTTCTGTTTTGCGCCAGATTGTTTTTTTCTGGGCTTTTGTGGGGAAGAGTGAAATAGCTTATATCTTAGGATTTGGGATTTCTTAGGTTTTCATCAGAGGAGATATAAGAACCAAGAAAATGTCGCCTTGCCCGTGAAAAGAGTGGTTGAGATCTGCAGCAAGGGTCAGTTCTTGGAAGAAATTGCATGCAAGCTTCTTTCCCTCCAAGTTCTTTTCCAAAAACACAGGCTAGGAAATCTGTATTTCCAGCATCAATCTGCCTACAGTGGTACATAAAATAAAGGCAGGTATCTATTCCCTACCCTGACTGGAAGCACCATAGAGAAGCCGAGCAAAGAACCAGTAAGTTTCACTCCATAAGCCACTCAAATATACGTGCTCAAAGCCATTTGTTGTGCTTCCTCCCTTTTCTCTGTGGTCCCATCTGTAGCCACATAAATCAAAGAGTGACAGCTGCAGCATTGTTTCTTCTATGGCTTCCAGTTGCTCCTTCCCAAATCCTCACTCCTCCATGAGTAGATGAGCTGTTATACAGCTCTGTATACATACATACATACATACATATATATATATATACACACACACACATATTCATATACAAGCCTTCCACTCTAAGAAGAGGATGGGAAGCCCCAAATGAAAGGAGTGTGACTTTGTGAAAGCGTGGTAAATGCCAAGCCTTTGCATCCATACCGTGGCTGTGCATGAATCTGTACTACAAAAGTATATTTTCCAAAACAATATGGATGGGGTTAAGGAAGATGTTTCTCCTAAAGACATCAGCCTCCAGCAAAAATCGGAAGCAATTTCTGTGAAAGGTGCTGAAATGAGAGCAGTTGTTATAGGAAGCATGTAGATAAAGTATGTAAGCTTGTTTACATAGTATGCAGATGATAGACACATCTATGTTCTAGTTTAAATTTCTACTAGCAAATTCCATGAAAAAATAAACACAGAACACCAAAGCTCTTCCAGAGATGAGAAAACAATGAATTAAATTCAATTCCTCACAGAATAAGTTATTCAGTAAAACAGACTACCACAATGTCTAGTGGCTTTTAAATTAAGTCTTAATTAATGATTCTCTGCTAGTAAATCCAAAACTTTACTGCTGCTTTTTTTCCAAGATGTTCATGGATGGCAAAGAGTTACCAGAACACTCATCTATGAAGTTTTTCCCACAGTCTTTTCCCGTTGTATTCCTGTTGTCATTTATGTTTAACATCAGAAATATATTCTTAAGCACTTCCTTGCTGGCATTATCATAGATTATCACAGATAATGCAAGCCAGGTTCCAAGGCCAGCGCTAGGTATATGAAACAGGTAATGAATAATCTGTCTAGACAATAGATGCGCCAGCACAGTTCCTCTTCTCTCAGTTCTGCCAGCTGCTAGCAGCTTGGATAGCCAGCTGAATACTTGTTAATCCTTACATCTCTTATAGTAAAAAAAAAATTAATTAGATTTGTCTAAACCAAGAAAAAACTTAAATTGTACCAACATCTATTCAAGGATTAAATCCCCAGTCTACCAATTGGTTATAATGATGAGCAAGGCTGAGGGCTATTTCACATTCTCATCTGGCACACAGATAAATCAGTAAGCCTCAGGTAACATGTGGCACTCACCTGGTGCAGCTTTTGCCAAAATTCAGGTCCATCCTCCATTTTTCTTAAGCTCGGTGGAATGTACCAAAAGCAGACGTTTGCATACTCCGGCTAAACAAGAGAACAAGTAACTGCTTATAAGATGCAATAGATGGTACAGGGATACATATTACAGCTTTTCAAAGAGTTCTGCTTGCATTTTTTTTTTAGGCGGGGGGGAGTGGGGTTGAATTTATACCCTTTCTTTTAAAGCTTCCTTCTCCAAGTCACATATGTTTCCCTTCTTTTGAAACTAGAAATAATTTTCATATCATCCATTCCTCTTCCCTCTGCCAGGGGCTCCTTTATAATTTCTTCTTCCTGTATCTACCTTTAACTCTGTTTTACTCAGTAAAAAACTTTGACTAGAAAAAATATAAGAGAGGCATGGAAAGGTAACTTACAGAATTCATATTTGAAGCAACTTTAAAGAATACATTTTCTTTTTAGTGTTTTGGGGTTTTAAAACAGAAATTTTCAATTATGCCTTTTATACAAAACACAAAAACTCAATTTTTGTGACCATTTAACACTTGCACACCTCATCATTTTCCTACTGAACAATGCCAATCTCCTCTCATGTCATAGAGCACACTATACAGTGCTGGAATTGAATTTGTCAATTTCCACATTTTATAAGAATCTCAAGACCCCTTGCAGGGTATGCACCATATCCTGAATGTATCTTGCTTAATATCTAAGCAGGCCTTTTGAGCAAAGACTGAGACTCCACATGTCTGCTTCTCCCCAGGGAAATTTTGCCTTTAAACTCAGCAGAGTTAGCTACAAGGCTCCCAGCAAAAGTGGCTGTTCACCATGCATTATAAAATAAGGAATTTTGTGCTTATGAGGTTTCTGTATTATTTATGATTGATAAAATGTTCCCAGCAGGCCATTCTAGGGTCTCTATACATTTTCTGCTAATTTGGAACTTTTTTTTTCTTTTGTTTACCTGTACAGAGAAAAAAAAAATATGAGGAATAGATACACCTTCTACAACCCATAAATCACTGAGTCAATCTTGACCTCCACTATTTGCAGCACAGCATTCAAATGCCATCTAGGTTATAGTATGGATTATGATAATTTGGACTGTGAACTCACACACCCTGCTCCTCTCCCACATGCCATCCTCATCACTACTAGTGGAAAGAAAAAAAAAACACTGCTAAAAAGGAGCTTGGTAGCTGAGTCACACCATCTCCTTGCCCCACTGTGGATGTGGCTGCTATTATAATCCCAGGCAGTCTCCTGAATGAGGAGAGCTCATCAGCTGAGACATGTTCTTCCATGAAAGGCCACTGAGAGCTGCTCATATCATTTTCTGCTTCACTTCAAAGAATGCATTAAATACAATTTAATCATCAAGAAGAATATCACTGTCAGCAGGAACTGAGCTGCAAACCTGCCACGTGCTGCTGCTGAATGGAATAAAGATCAGTTCTTAAAGTCCCATTTCTTTCCCCAAAGAGTTTGCTTTGAGTACACATGTAAACACAGACCCTGAAAAGGCGGTGCCTTCCCCATAAGAACAAGCACTAGCTCAGTGTTACAGGGTTTATTCCAAAACTATTTAAAATCAGATGTCAGGAGCAGACAGATGGCATACATTACCATATTGCCATTGCCTATATTGCTTTCTTGATTATCTCAGTTTCCTTTCACACATCAAATACATCATCACCCTCTGAAAACACCATTCATCCTAGAAAACTACCCTGAGCCATGCTTCACACTCTATTTCTGGTTGTCTTGCCACATGTCTTATCCAAGCAGGTAAGCAATTATAGCACAGAAGAGTTCAAGATGACTCAAGCACAAGTGGCATTTCCAGGCCGTAGAGCAATTCTCATTATAGGTTTTTCCTCGCTGCATGTATCAGAGGATCATCTTCCTAAGATTCTTGTCTGAAGCCCATCTTCCCTTCAGAGAGGCCTTGCACAGCTGGGCCTTGCTGCCTCATAGCATCTTCTCTTTGAATTCTCATTGCTTATCCCCTGAAAATTCTCTTAACCCTTTCAACTTCTCAACTCATAGAAAAACTCGTAGAACTCAAGAAGCTCAACTTCTTTCTCATAGTCTGTACTACAACACTCCCTTCTTTAAATTTAGGTGTCCCATTCCTGCAGGAGCTACACAGCAGCCTCTGCTCTTACCAAGAGTTTCCACATCTACAGCAGACCTGGGCTCTCTGCTAAGGTTTACAATAACAAGAAGTGGACAGCTTTTAACAGACTTGCCACTTTACTAACTCCATCCTGTGCTGCTGGCCTAAAATTCTTCAACTGAACAGCAGTTTTCAAAGGTAAAGGGAAAAGTTTACATTGTATGAATAGTATAAAATATTTTTCATATTTTGCCTTTTGTCTAGCCTAACCTGGAATGCTCATGGTGGCACTTACTCCATTTCCCATCCTCCTCCATGTACCCTCCTCCTCCTGATCCCACACAGCAGCCTGTCTTTCATACAAGTACACTTCCTACAATGCAAAAGGTTTTTTATAAAATTGACAGGTCTTCGCAACATCCTCAGATATCAGCCTTATTAACCAAAGAGCTGAGGACAGGTGGAAATACAGTACTTAAGCTCTATTCCCTTCGCTCACTCTCCCCCAAGCAAGGTCACCAAACAGGAAATAAGCTGACAGTTTTAGTAAAACAAGTGAAACACAACTTTCGGGTAGTTTTTAGGAAGATGGGAATTGAAATAGAACTAGGGAAAAAAATATGGACTTTAACAATGCCAAGTCCATTTTTAGGATCAAACTATTATTCCCTCCAGCACATAATCTTATCTGCAGGTCTGGCAAGCACTGATTTTTTTACAGCCAGCCTCTTTACTCTCACAGAAAAGTGCTCCATCTACACCCCCTGAGGCAACACAGGACCAGAAGCCAGGAAATTAGGTAGAATGATAGTAGGGAACACAGCACATATGTTATGTGTGTTCAATCATATCTGTGGATCTCCAATACACAAACTTATTAGATTTGATACTTTAAATACAAATTGGTAATTGACTAAAAAGAATAAAATCAAACAATGGACACTTCCTAACAATAATAACAGTTCAGTTCTCTTTTCACTTACCTCCAAAATAAGCTGGAATCCTTCTCTTTTTTTAATTTCCTCCACTAGATATCTGTAATTAAAAAATCAGGGATTTAAAACACAGAACAAAACAATACACAGAGACAACAGGACAAAAAAAGGGTCTTAAACATGTATTTATTTTTCTTTTCTTTTTTTTTTTTTTTCCACTAAGAAAGCAACAGAGTTAAACCTCATTTCTACCTGCTGTGAAAATGTAATAGCTATCAGTTCCTAGAAACAAAAGAAAGCTAGAGCCAGCCAAGGAGCACTGAGGAGAAGCCAAATTCTGTCCTCAGGCACAGATTTTCAGCAGAGCCACATGGCACAAATTGATCCTATTTGCATCAGGTTGTGAACTTTCCCAGAGCAAATTAATACCTCTGTTCCTTGTTCTCAAGTGCCAATGCTGGGCTGTCGTGTTATTTCACAGTCACTCTGACATCTCTTGCATTCTACTATCACCAGGATCTCTTAGCTTAGCCCAGAATTTAAAAATTTGAGCATATTTCCAGCTCAGCTATTTTCCCAGTGCTGCCCACAGTGCAACTTTCCATTCAGTGGGCCACTCCTTATGTACAACAATCCCTGGACTTCCTATGCTAACAGTGTGTTAAAATGGGAATTTCTTTTCCTTCTCACAGAACACAGAAGCCTTCAATGGAAAGATGGGTTTGGATCAAGATTTTGGATACAAACAGCTTAAATTTACAGATTTTTTTAGAACATGACTGCAAGTTTGCCATGGCACATATCACACAGGAATTCTGAAGCAAAGAGGACATAGATGGGATTTCTCTCTTTCTTCTCTCACCCTCAAAGACTTACAAAGAAAAATTTCTGCAAATTCACTGCAAATTCACACTTCTCCAGTCCAACAAAATTTTAGCTTTCTACATGAAGATATTGCTGTCTAATATTAATAAACCTGACAAAGTTAAACTACTGATTGTGCACGAAACTGTTCTTCTTTTGCATTCACTATTTGGCATTTTCCTGTCTGAAGCTGCATTACTGGTCATCACACTAGTAATTATTTTCAGTGAGAAAGAGAAATATTGGGAAAATAATCTCCCTTGGTCCTACCCACACAGCTGAAACTTGCCCCCGGCAGGGACACCTCTAGCACAGCTGTCTCTGCAATGCCCTCCCCTCAGCAGCCGTGCTGCAGAAGCAATAAACAACACCCTAGATGGCACACATTTTTCCAGACAGTGTCTGGGGAGTTGTGCCGCTGTTTATCATTAACAAGCACTGCGCCTGCGACTCGCTACCTCCCAGCTCACGCCCCAGCAGAGCCACCGCTGCGCTGGAGGGCCTGTCCCCACAGCCCCCAGCTCAGGAGCTGTGCTGGCACTGCTGAGGTGTTTCCCCTCGCTGGAACAAGTCACGGTTCTGGTCGTTTCTGCCATGACCGCTCAGATCCTCCCACGTGCCCTTGTTTGTTATCTGGTTGTTAGTGTCCACACTACTGCTCAGGTTGAAAGAGAGACTTGATTATCTGTAGGGTAATTATCTTATGTCAAAGCTTGCTGCTTCTGTCCTGTTTATTAGAAGATACTTGTCTGTGCCATAAAACCAATATTCAGCAACATCAACAGGCTATTCATATGACAGTGGCCCTCAATTTATTTTTTTTTCTTTCAATAAACTATGAAAACAAAACCTATGTATAATCACTTTCCTTTTTCATTTTTTTTTAAGGTCTTGAATTGTTAGAGCAATTTTGCAATGCTTAATACCTTTGCCTCTTACCTCAAGTGCCTTTATTTTATATCACCTAGGTCTAAAATCTGACGTGGGATACCTGATGTCAGTCAGGTTCACAACACTGTTAATCACGTTCTTAACTACACTGCCAATAACCTAAGAAGGCAGCCATTAGAAAATCCATTGCCCATGATTTATCTTGCCAGTATCATTTGATAGCAGTGGAGCAATTTACTTTGTGCATCTTTCCACAGCTGACAGTGAAGTTTTATTATCATGTCACAGTTGTAGTATGTTAGAAGGGCTTGAGTCTTAGTGAAGACCAAAGTACACAGAGAAGCGTCATTTGCTATGATTAAGCCTTGCAGAAAATGAGGGGTGAAGATCTGCCGTGAAAGTAGACATATGTCTGCTAACAGTGGGTGTCAGAAGAGGAAACAGGCAGAAAAATTCCAAAGAAGATGAAGCATAAAATGCAGAGGTGCTTATATAGTAACTATAGTTGTATTCTAAAAGCAGTTTACTTCTATTTTCTTTTTAGTGTACTTTATAAAATAACATCCCTACATCAAAAATAATTGGGGGGAAGAAAATATGCAAAAAAATTCTGAAGGGATCAGCTGGATGCTCTACTCTACATATTTAAAAAGTAAACCTTTCCAAATAGATAGCATCACAGAGTTCCTGGGATAGTTAATTCCCTGAAAGCATGATTCATCTCCAGCTGAAGATTTTACTGGAATAGCCAACAGGCAAAGTTTTCTGCATCAGAAGTACATGCCTGCAACTACCCTAAAACCTTTTCAGCTCCACTTGGCTACAAGCAAAAAAAAATAAAGCAATCTTGTCCTTAAATTCTATAGTCAGTGGACTAGTTCCAGAATTAATCTGGGTCTGTGTTCAGGAGCGTTGAAATACTACCTTGCAATTGAAGTACAATCTAATGTAACAAATGAGGAGAAAGGCTGAACAGCTGAGTAGTTGGTAAACCTGGAACAGTGCCCATGTCCATGCAAACTCAAGATGACAATGCCACCACTGTGAAGAATCTATTTCACCAGATAATGTCTAAAAATTAAATTTCTTCCTAATGGAAAAACAAACCAAAAACCAGAAGAGACAAGCCAGTCACTCCTTAGAAGTATTACCAGCTGAATCCTAATGTTAGGCAGAAATATCGATCCCAGAAAGGTGATTAATCACTACACAGTCAGTCAAATGACCTTGGCCAGTGACCTTGGTAAGGCTGAATTCTCCTACTGATAGCGGAAAGAATGACTTACTCTGAACAGACAAAGAACAGCGCAATGCTTCACAACAAAAACAAGGTGCAATTTAACCAGAACATATTAAAAAACACATAACCAGCCAAAAAACTGAGTGGCTTTAAAGAAATTAAATAGAGAAAAAGACACAGCTTTTTTGAGCTTTTCTGGTTTGGGTTCCTTCTTTTTATTCCTTTCAAATCTACTCTGGGTTTAGGTAAGAGGCATTTTTATTTTCTCTTTAAGTAACTTCATTAGAGTCAGACTATTCCTTTAATTTTGATTGAAGTAAACATTCGATTCTTTTCTACTTGTTATTTCATATAAAAAGTAAAATGCCAATACCAATTATTTGACTTAAGGCAGTGTATAGCTAGTTTTGTGTAGTTTTCATTATGTTTTGTCTTGTATAAATTCTGAGCAAACATTTTATTTAAAGTGAACCTTTTTTAATGGGCCGTTATTCCAAAATAATTTCTTAGAAGAGAAAACCACCTGTGTATGGAAGTCTCTTCCCAAAAATCAAGACATCACCATCACTTTATGAACACCTTCTACCAAGAACTTTGCTGAATTCACTTGCAAAACTCAGTTCTGCAAGACCAAAAGCTTAATGAAATTGGAGAGGACAAGTGTGGGGAAGATCACAAGAAAAAGGTGTTTCAGTCCCTAACTCAGTCCCTAACAGAACATTCTGTAAGTGTTAAGAACTTCAGCAAATTTGAGAAAAAACACTCAGTAGGTCAGAACAATATTGCTTTTGTACACCTCTACTGGATCCTGATATTACCGCATTCCTCTTTCACAAGGAATGACTTGAACAGGAAAATTTGGTTCTTGCCAGACACAGCTTGGATTCTGGAACTTCTTTTACATCAACACCAGAACACCCTGTTGATCTAAAAGAAAGTGTTTTGGTGACTCTGTCCTATGTCTAGTCCAAATAACATAAATGTTCCACGATACAGACTGATAGCCTAATTTTGACTTCCATAATTACTATTAAATATTGTAGCAAACATAATAACCCTAATTATTATTTTTTTTACTTGTTCCACCTATTATACACAAGCAAAAGGATAGAGGCAGAATGTAACAACAGGGACTGTTCCAGGATATGGAGTATCAGCAGTGCCAACATTTCAGCCCATCAAACAGACTAAACATACTCAAAACTGTGAGGTGGTACCTTGCCAAAGCCAGTGCCCTGTTTACTCTCTCCTCCAGGCCTGTGGTTCCCAAAGCTTTCCACATCAGCCAGAATTTGAACGCGTCCGGACGCCTGCTGCACTGGATGGACTTGTCACCAGTGTCGTAGCTGACATCGTAGAACTTGTCCTGCTGGAACAGGTACGCAGCCTCGGCAGAGTAACACTTCTTCAGGAGGCCCTATGAGGAAACACCACAGAGGCTTTGATTGGGTATAAACGTTTCCAAACCTCACAAGCCAAAGCCTTTCTTTCCCTGTCTGTATCAAATGCTTATTAAAACAGATCTGGATATGCAGGATGCCATCCAAAGCTTACAGTGTGGTTTAAGAACCCTGGGTGAGCCTAAAGTCAGTGAATTCACACCGACAACCAGCAAATATATTTTTATGATTATTTTCTTCATAATGTCATGGAAGAGTGTCAGGCTGGAGAGGAATTTTGACTCAGATCTCAAGAAATCATGGGAGTGGGTATCACAGAAACAGTTGCCATAAAATATATATGGATGTAAAAGAGAGAGAAAGGAGACGCCTATGTCCACTGCTTCAGTCTTTAGATCACAGAATCACAAAATATTTAAAGCTGAGAAGGACCCACAAGGATCATTGTGTCCAGTCCAGGAGAATGGCCCACACAGGAGCTGAACCCACAGTCTTGGCATTGTAAGCACCATTATCAAGAACAACCCCTGAGGAACTTCCTACATTTTCACAAATGGCTCAATCCATTCCTGCTTTGATTAGTTGCAGGTAGGGAAGACTTTAGCCCAAATAAATATATGTTTAGCCATTACCACCAAATAGTCACTGTGGATTTGGCATAGGCTGACTGTTTGAGCAGAAAAACCACAAGCAGATTAGTACAGCCCAATTTTTTTCTCTTTCACATTTCAGACAAATGTAACATTCGAAAATAAACTTAAGAGAAGATACTTTCACATATGCTAATCATTATTTCTAAATAAAATTATTTTTATTCAGCAATCTCCAGCCTACAGCTTCTGAGGGACAACCTGGGCAGAGATGAGCAGCACAAAACAGACAAAGATTAATGAGTGATGTAGCAAGTTCCAGAAGAGAACACAGCTGGGAAACAGAAAGCACAGAGGCTGTGACAGGTTTAAAGGTGCAGAGGAAGAGACATAGGACTGGCCATTGGCTGAAGAATAAAATATCAAAATACACTCTGTAAAACTGTGAAGTAGAGGGAAGGGCTGGCAGAAGGCAGGTTACAACAGCAGAGATGAGGGTGGCCCTATGAGGGGCCCAGGAGACAGGAAACATGGATCTGTCAGTGCTAAGAAGAGCACAACTCATTTTCCAATTCAATATCACTCTTCAATTTGAACCAACAAAAAAAATCATTTCTCATTTCACCCTTTTCTCTGCATCTGCTGCAAGTCTGATTTTGAAATGGCACAGTGTCTGATATCATTCTTAATCAAAGTGTCATATTCCCACAACAGAGGTACAATTCCTAATCCACATTCCAATATCCTACTTATGAGTTTAGCACTGGCAATAAAATGAAGTAAAAAGGTCAAGGCAAAAAAAAATAAAAAAAAAAAAAATGAACTGGCATACATAGAATAACTCTGCCTCTCTCCTAGACTTTTCAATTCCCTCCAAAAAAGCAAAGCAAACAAAAAAACCCACCAGTTTGTAGAGCAAAAGGAGAACACCATCAAGGTTTCTCCATAACTTCTATAAGGGTTTGACGATCCCATCGTAATATTTGTTTGCTAAAAATACAAAAAATACAGCAAATTTGGTCTGACCTCTTTCATCACAGGAGCATTGTGAAAAGACAGTTTTTATGACAGCTTGGAGGGAAAAGGGCTGGTATCTGCTCTCCCTTTGCAGAGTGATAACATGCAGCTGCAGCACAGGGTAGCCACAGCTGGAAAGCCAATGATGGATGCAGTGTTTCGCAGCATATAAAATTCTAACACCTACTTTCCAATTTTCTCAAATAAAGAAAGGCAAGGAGGTGACATTAGAAATGACAGAATAGTCAAGCACTGAGGTATCCATACTTTTGAGGTTTTTTACAGTTTTTTTTCTCTGTCTAGCAGCTGCAGAACAAGAAACAGGAGTCATTCTGTCAAGACATGGTGCTCTATTCATTTAGACCTTCATACCTTTACTTTCAGCAGAATAACAGGTTGCTAGACATGGTGTTTTAAAAAAAGAAAAAAAAACCCACAAAACAAGCAAATAGGCAGTAATATCCACAAATTTAATCTTATTGCTTTGTCTCTGCTGACTTAAAATGTTGAATGGTGTATCTGCAGTGAGGGTACAGTGAGGGTTATCAGTGTGGTACTATCTTCTGCCTCATTAGAATGCAATGCAGCTGCACAATAGAGGATGTCACAGGATATTAATTCCCCTCATGCTGGTCATCCTATAAAAAAGTAACCACTGTTAGTCACAAGAAACCTAAATGCCGTTGGCAATATTACAAAAGACTGAGAAGTTCACTTAAGATAACAGGACAGTTGCAGAGTTACATAGTTTAAAAAAAATGCTCTAGAGTTAAGATGCAAAAAACATTTTGATGGCCCTGAGGCAGCTTGTATTGTTGATAATGTAGTTCATTAAAAAAAAAAAGAAAAAAATTGAAAAGGCAGGTACTGTCCTCATGTCTCGGTGCATCTGAAACTGACAATACATGTTGGCTTGGTGCTCCTTTTCCAGCTGCTTATCTTACTAAGAATGCAACATGCTCAAGAAATCCTGCTAAAGATACTGATACTATCAATCTCCAAAGGCAAGTATAGTTACATCCTCCTACATGTCTCTAGAGTAGAGGGGAAAAGAAACAACAATCATCCTTTGTGAGGAAGAGAGAAATATCCCAGAAGAAAGGTGGGGGAGAAAGAGAAAGGGAAAGAAAATGAATGGAAGACAAAAAAGTCATCTCAATTTTCCTAGTCAAACAATGAAAAAGTAGAAGGAAAAAAAAAAAAAAAAAAGGAAAGAAATATGCTTTAAATATGCTTTCTGACTCAGTGTTCTCAGTCCCAAGAAGAAGATCCCAAAAGTTTTCCACACAGTAACTGCTACATCTGCTCAGAATTGCAAAAGTTTCATAGAACTGCCCCATTGGACAACTTTCTTTCTTCATCTTTTATCTTTCTACCCTTTTTAATACAATTTCTCAGCCTTATAGTCAGTCTGTTAAAGTTTAGGAAATTGAAATACTATTTTCATAGAGGCCTCAATCCACCATGAAGTTTCAAAGAGCTTTTGATTATGATGAAGTCTATGTATAGTTTTTTTGTGCTCTAATTAATGGCAAATTGATGAAAAAATATTGATACTGAAAGCAAGAGCTCCAGTTTCATAATTCAACATTATTCTCATTGAACAGACTTACCTATAGCAAGTCTTCTGATCTCCTTCCATTTCCATTGCTAGTTAAAAGTGAATTTCAATTTCATTAATAAAATATCTTTTTCCCTAAGACAAGCCTCTCCCTGATTTGCCTTTTCTGAGGCAATAAGGACAGTCTTTTGAATAGCATACTTGAAAATTGTCAAAAGCAGTGCAGTGTAAAAAGATACTATAGCAATTTGTTTCAAGGGGTAAGAAGGAGCTCTCAGTTGTATTAAACCCAAACAAAAGCAATGAGAATAGAGCATTTCCTTCAGCCGTCCTGGAGGGGAATCAGGGAGGTAGATATTTCTATGATATTGCTAATTATGAGGAAGAGATTACATGTGGGTGGTTACCATCATCACCTTAATCTGTACTAAAATGAGATTTCATTAGCTACATTGAGCCTTAATTCTTAACTAATAAGTAAAAATTCTGCTTATTATCTAGAACTGATTCTTAATTACCTGAACTAGGGTTTCACTCTCACAAGTCACAGAACTTTGGCACTGGTAATAAACAGTAGTTCTCTGTTTACATGTAGATAATATTCACACAGATATGGATGACAGCAAGGACAAATTGGAGTAGCTCTGTGGTTTTTAAGGGAGTATGTACAACCCAACAGCAATTCCTAGCGTTTTAAGAACATATATGACCAAAACTAACTTCACCAATGTTTTGAGGTTATTGATCCATCTAGCTTTGTGTTTAAACAGTCACTGCAATTCATGACTCAGCAATACCAATGTTTTCTGAGTAAGACTACCTTGTTGGAGAAGTGATGAAAGTTACTCAGGGCATGGCAGTGAAAAAGGAATAGATGTGCTCTTCTTGAGTGCCGTAAGCACTGAAGAACTACAGTCATTGATCTGAGCTTTTAAAAGGGATTAACCAATCTTTCTTTCCCTTTGGTGAAATTGCTTCTCTCTTCTAATCAAGTCAAACACATATGTGTCTTTTCTATCTCTACCTTCCTTGGAAATATTCCAATTTTGTTTCAGTAAAGCTGGAAGATACTCTTTTATCAGCATTTCACAGCAGTTAATCTTTTTTTTAGGCTTTTTTTAAAAAAATCTGTACAATGTTTCATTCTAACAAGCCAGTTGCAGTATCTTAAATATATTAACACTGCTAAGCCCCATTGAAGCAAAATGGCAAAAGAAAAAACAAAAAAACAAAAAAAACCAAAAAAAAACACTATTACTTTTGTTACTGGGAAATTACAGTGTTACCAGTACAATTGAAGTGTGATGACATCTTCTAAAAATTATCTTTCATACAGAAAGTATGAAAGAGAAACAGAAAAACTGAGGAGGATTAATTTGCTCACTTATAATCAACTAAGCTTAATTCTGAAATATTCCATAATTTCCAAATGGGTCTTATTGCACATGGAAAGACAGGCTAACAAAACTTCCTTTATCAGTCTTTCAAAGAGAGATGATAGGGTAATTCATAAATGGGACTTAATATTCATGATTAACATTTTGCTGCTTGATTTCTTGCAGAATTCAGAACTTCAGAATATACCTGAGGTTCCTTGAACATTCACTAGCAGAGCAATATGTGCCAGACTCTCCCAGCTCACATCTCAGCATCCAGCTCCCACTGATGCGTCCTAACCACAGTGTGAAGGAATTGTGTTCACATATAAACGTGTGCTTCCTTTTAGCCACAGGTATTTATGTGCTTTAGGAGAAGTGGAACAAGCTCCCAAGTGAGAAACTGATACATGTATTGTTCCCTTCTCTAACTGGTGCAAAAATACCATTTTTAATGGGAAACTGGAATCTGCTGCCTGTTCTGGTATGGAGAGGATCAAAGTGAAGCAACGCTTTTCTGTCAAAGTGTCTTAAATATGCATTTGATCTTTTTTTCTTAAGGATTTATATTCCAGCTAGTTAATAAGAAAGTACTCAAATCTGCATGTGTGCCTGTTTGCATATAAAGACTTCACTGGCACATACACAGAATGAGTAAGAGCTGATTTTCCAAGAATTAGACACAAAGTAAAACAACCTTTCTTCCCAATGCAGACAAATCTTCTGCATTCCAGAATATGTCTCACTGTACAACAGGATCTGATGCTGTGATCCATAATACTTCTGTATTATTTTTACCCCCCAAAGGCCTAAGATTCAGCTTTAAAAGTATTTCTAACTCAATATTGCCTAGCTGTGGTTTAAAAGTGGAACAGGATTGTTCTACCAGACCTTGCACTGCACAGAAGGGAACCACAAAAAGGCTGCCAGAGCCCTCAAGTTGGAACAGTGTTCATAAAGTGACTCAAAAGGCTAGGGCAGCTAGAACATTTCAATCCTCTACACTTCTTTCCTTTTTCTTCCTTGAGAAATTTCCACTATTCAATCCAAGTAGCCTAATCATTACCTGGGGCGATATCTATGTTCTGAGCCTAATTAGTTAAAAATACAGCACTGAAATCTTCCCAAGCCTGCAATTAAGACATCATATTAATCTTAGTCAATAGCTTTATTCTATTTGTTTTTCAGCTCAGAATAAAGATAAAGTGATGGATGGTAACCCTGAAATCTAATCCTCTTCCATCCCAGAGGCTCTAATCTAAGGAAATGAGGTGGCACACTGCTCCTCGCTGTCCTGCCATGTTTCACCCCTGACCTAGAGCAATCAGCTCCAAGAGAGTGCTGATTAGCAACTATGCTCTTTGGTCCTCATCAGTTCTTACTAACAGAAGTTAGTAACAAATTACATGGATAGGTAACCCCAGCAGCTGAATAGAAAATATCTCTTGTTTTGACAGAGATTTATAAAAGCAATTTACAAACCATGGCCACAAAATAGTGATGCAAACCTTAGGGGCTCGATATCTTCATGATATTCAGTCATTTATAACCCATGGAGTAGAAGGTAAAAATCCATCCATAATGGTGGGCAGTCGGAATAAGTTCTAGCAGGTCTGATTTTTAAATGAAGCTTGAAGTAATGAACCTCTTACTGTTTTGGTTTTTTTGGTTTTGTTTTTTGTTTTTAAGGTAAAAGAAAAGGTTTAAGGTTTGTGCCACAAACGAACAAGCAGAGATTTTTTGCTACTTTGCAGAGTCATCTTAAGATCAGAGCTCTGTTGTTTTCTTGCTAGACCTTTAAATTAATCATTGCTTTTGGGAAGTCTAAATCACCCTGCTGATGAGGAAGAACTGGTAGAGTGTGGAGAGAAGGCTCTGCACCTTTACCTGCACGTGCTCTGACTGCCATCCCTCTCCCACTCTGGCTCTCCCTCCCGTACAAGGGGACGTGGTGATGAGCTCTGCCTGCTTTAAACAGATGCAGCACTGCTGCAGTCCCCATGGCTGACAGCTACTCCGAGGGCTTTGATGAGCTCTGTGTTTAAGTGTGCCAGGCCCAGGTGACAAAATACCCCATTCTGAATGCAAATCATGTCCAGAAGTTAACTAGCAAGGGCACCAGCTGCAAAATTTGACCACTCATGAGTGCAGTGACTTGGATCGTTCTCACCCTGCTCTTTTATTCACCCTTTATTAATTGATTAAGTGGTGAAATCCAAAATAATATAATTCAACCTTTGTAATTCAGTATAGTTAAACTGACTTTCAGCTGTATTCCAATTATCTCCACTTTCGTATTACAGCAATGACAGCCTATTAGAATACCACAAAATAAAATAAAAAAAAAAAAAAGCTCAGGAGGACTTACAGAGTTGTCTTTCACCAGAAGAGCACAGCACTGGATTCCTGCCAACAACATTTTATGTGGATTCCAGGCAACAGAATCAGCCCTGCAAAAATGGAGAAAGGGAGGTGAAAATTGTATCTACAATCATGGGTACTTAATAATCAAAAAAGACCAAACGAAATCCAAGCAGACAAATCAGATTTCCCATACACCCACCCCCACCACAGGTTCAGAAACGTCTCCAAATATTTTTAAAAATGCATCACTGATGGAAGCCAACAGGCCACATAACTTCCACCTCAACCCCTAGTAAGTGAGCCCATGGACTAAATTGACTTACCTGTAGATACCATGAAGAAGTCTGCGATGCTTCCTTGATATCAAAGCTGAGCCACCCCAAGAAGCCTGTTGGAACATTTATAGAGCCAACAAAATATTATTTGTACAAAGTTATTTTGATAATAATTCAACTAATAATTTCTAAAGATGTCTTATCTCATTTAAAACTTAGTTTACTACATAGTCAGTGGGCTAAATTCTGCCCTGAGTTTCATCTCCTGAAATAAAGCCCAGGGCTATGCCTGAAATAGAGGAGGTTGTGGTCTGTGCCACTGCATGAGCCACAAACCAGAGCAGCCCTTCTGTGTAAGCAAGGGCAATGAACTGAAATGTCCTTGCACACCCAGACTCATTCCTGATACCAAACAGTGTTGCTTCCTTTTCCCCCAGCCTTAAACTATCAGTGACAGCAGAAGGCCTCACTTTGCACATCTTCTTCCTGCTAGCCAATTCCATCCTGAGAATTCCACAGGGGAAACAGTGGACAGTGATAATCTCTGGCAATTGCAAAGGTCAGGTTCAGGTTTTGCACAGATATGAAAAACAAAGTCTGTCAGTGGGAAACAGCAGCATTTCTGTCACCAGCTACCCTGCTGACCTTGAAATGACTTAAGACTCCCTCAGCTCACCTAAGAACCCAGTGTGTGCTCTAAGAGTCACTTAGACCTTCTCTGTGGTGAGGAGCTCTCCACTGAAACTCCCTATTTAGTTCCATCTACTCTAGACACCCATCTTTGGGTGACACCTTTGGCAGATGTGCCTCTCCAGGGACTAGAGAAGGAAGCCATACAACAAGTCTTTTATTATGTAAGTTTAATTTCCGGACAACTTGAATTAGGGAGTGTGATTCTTTTTCATGAATTCTGCAAGGATCGTCAGGTGCTTTGAACCTTCAGCTCCCAAACAACAACATTTATCCAGTGGAAAGCTGAGGAGATCATGCAAACACTAGACATGTCACACAGTGCATTTGAGAAGTTACTGGTAAATAAATAAACAAATATATAAAATGAGTTTCAATATTCATGCAGGCAGAATGCACTTAAGCCAGCTACCTGTGAAGCAAGAAAAGCTCTTCAGAGACACACAAAAGACATCAGTCCACAAAACATTTGGACTCGGTTTTTTTGTTTTGTTTTTTTTTTAAATTGTAAAGAAAAAGAAAATCGCTGATGTAAAGATTCCTGACCTAAGCATAGAAAATATATGCTTGTTTGGTTTTTGTCCTTTTTTAGTTTCCTTGAAATAAAAATATGTGACAGCTGATTTATGAACTTAACATCAGAATTTGCTTCACAGGCCACACAGTAGGAATGAGATCTGCTATCTCTGGGAGACTGGCAAAGGCTCACAAGGGAGATGAAAGTTATTAACTTGCCTTAAAAAGTCATTCTCATTAATGCCACACATTAATAGATCACATCATATTTTACATTGTCATGCTCACAACATCCTCGCTGAGACAAGGGCTGCTGCACAAACCACAGGTGAGACCTAAGGCAGGAAATTTTTTTGCCTCTAGCGTTATGGTAATCCTGCAGAACCATGAATTGCAACTATTTTCCTCCAGCAAGTCCAAATTTGCTGTGTTAGGGGATGACAATCAAGCTGAACTTCCTATTCAGAGACAAAATTTACTCCTCTCATTCTATGATTCAATAAAGTCAAAACAGTCACTAAGTTATTTCCTGTTTTTCAGAATTTCTGAACAACCCATTGAAATAGAATAAATTTTTACAAAATTTGCATCCAAAATTTCTGTGTTTGGAAAAGTTGACATTCTCACGCTGTTTGTGGATAACAGGACTTGAAAGACATTTGAGAGGTCATCTCAGTAGTGTGTCACCTTCAAAGGCAAGATTAGCCATACTCCTCTCATTTCTCTCAACCACATCTTTTCTAGAGGTTATTTATCAATGAATCAATTACACCTGTAATTAGCATTGAAGTGAAAAATAAAATGCAGAGAGAGACCAGCAATTTCTGCCTCCACAGAATTATTTACCCTACTTTCTGCCTTTTTTTAAAGAACTACTACTGAAGATCTGGATGAGATAAATCATATTACTCTGCCTGAGCCACAGTAATACAAGATGAATTCGTTACCCATGTTCCTTTGCCCAATTCAAAAAGCAAGTGCTTAAGGATCCAGGAGAAGAAAAAAAAAGAAAAAGAAAACAAAAAAAAACAACCAAACAATCACAAAAATAACCAAAACAAAAACCAAAGCACAATGAATGAGAAGGCATTTAAGGAGACTGAGAATCACCGGCTTTGTTTTTAAAGGCCTCTCTAATGATGGAGGCTGCACAACTTAACCACTTAATTTGTGTGTAACAGGAATAACACCATCTTAATTTAATGTGTCAGTCCTAAACAATGTTACCATTTGTCACACCTCCATTGGTCAGGGCAACCAATTAGTCCTTTCCTTTCAGCAGCGCCTTTTAAAGCTTCTTTAGACTGTTATGTACCGTTTGTTTTTTCTAGTTTAAATAATATCAGTGTTTTCCATCTTTCTTCATTGGCCATAATTTCTAGATATGATTCTGTTTATCTACATTGCTTTCCCATTTTCTAATCTTTCTCCTTTAGGACCTTATTGAACTGCATCTTTTCATTTGGACAAAATTTAGATAAAGCAGATGGCGTGTGAAGCAGAAAGAAAGAATCATTTTATTTACTTCCTTTATTCAATTCTGGAAGGTATTTAACTCTATTTGAAAATATCACTGATTTGTGAACTAGAAAAAGATCTGGGCCAACAATCCCCAGCCTGTGTGTACTTGATTACTGCAGCTTAAAATTCTATCTTTATTGAACTGCAGCCTAGTTTTTCCACTTTTTTCCTCCAAATTGTCAAAATCCCTTTGATTTCTAATCCTGTCCTCCCACTGCCTTTTTCAGAAGTCTTATGTCATCTTCAAATTTGTCAGCATATTCTTTTTCATCCAAGCTATTTAATGAAAATACCAGATAATTTCTACCCTAAGGTAGACCCTTGAGGAATCCTGCTCAAAATTTTTTCCCCTTTCAGCCAACCAGTAGTAACTGTTCTGTGGGAATGGTTTTTAGGCAGGTTTTCACTCACTACCAGATTTCTCTGCCTTTTTCATGAGATATTGCAAAGACACAGTAAAGCTGACTGCTTCTCCTCCATCCACAAGCGTGGAGAAGGAGGCCAGATTGATAAACTAGGATAACACATTTTGTTTAAGACAAATCCAGCTGAGAGTAACGCAGGGTAAGTCAAAACACGACTGTTATCAACCTGTGTCCTACACGATGTAATTGGTAACAAGGTATGAGAAAATCACTGTTTCATATGCAACAAATCATTTACAGCTGAATGATGGGAATCACAGTGTGCACTGCCTGATTAAGCTAATTACCTAAGCATGGGCTAATAGGTCAAGCCCGATTTTCTCTACTGACCTAACAGGAGAAAAAACAAAAAGTAGTCAAAGCCAGGACCACAAGGGAAGGAATACTCATACCCAGCATTTAAAGCTACATGAAGACAATGCATGACATACACAAATCCTGGAGGGCATATTGATGATACAAAACAAGTTATTAAGAAAGGCATCAGAGATGCAGTTTAAAACACAATAAGCAACTGGAATGCTGTAATGTGAACAAAATAAGCTTGATATAGCCTCTGCTCTTAGGATTGACTGAACAGCTTGACTGCTAGGGCAGTTTGGACCTACTGGTATTATCTTCTTAAAACATTTTCCTTAACTTGCTTTTCCTCTCCAGCTTGCCTTCATGTCAGAGCTTATCTACTATTTCTGACTTTATTGAAATTTATCTTCCTGAAGCTTACCGAATTTCTGTTGACATTCTCGCTTTTGACCTTCCTAAGAATCACGAGCTTTATCATTTCATATTTAATGAAAAGAGTCTCCCTAAGGGGAACACATCAATTTTTGGGATCAGAAAATATTCTGAAATGAGATAAATCAGTGTAAATCTGGAAACATCACCACTGACATTCATATAAGATATTCTTAGAAACAGCTTGTGAGAGCACTTACAGTAGATAGTCCTGAAGGCTACCAATGATACATGAAAAGTCCTAAATTAGACAGAACTTTACCTGGGTTTTACTCTTTGTTTTAATTGTACTGTACCTTTTTTCCTTCAAAGTTACAGCAGGCCTAAACAGCAGTACACACTTCTTGGACTGCATAATGGAAGCCAGGCCTTTCAGCAGACTGCAGAGTCTCAAAGATTTCAAAAATATTACATTCCATCCTATAGTGATAGGAGGTATGCTTGCTTAAAAATAAATAAATAAATAAATAAAAAATCTAACTCTTCTTTGTGTTTCTTATAGTATTTCTGAATGGCAGAGACCCAGTCTCACTGTACCTGCTCACATACAATTTCAGTAATTCAGTAAATCTATTTCTAGTGGTGCTGTTAAGAGTAAAAATGTTGCACTAAGAATCACAGTCTTCTCATTTTACCACAGCACACTTGTATATACGTGTGTGCCTGATGTCACTTCTGTGGAAAGCTGCCAGTCTTTCCCCATATCCTGTTCTCTTATAAATGCAGCTAGAAACTTTTAATGAAAAAACAGAGAAACAGCCATCCACCCAACCTTTCATATAGTGTGAAAGATTAAGAAAATACCAATAGAACTTCTCAGAACCACTGAGAGGCTCATAAAATTAATCACTTCTTAAGAGAAGAATTGATCTTCCAGACTGTAAACCCAATTTATTAATGGACACCTGTCCTTCTACTGAGAAACAGTTGACATCTGACAACGACCACCATTTCAAAACAGAAAATAACTTAAAGGTATTCCTGGAAATTTTTACCTTTGTTTAAGATGAGGCAAAACTGGAAGAATAAAGTTAGTTCTTTTCAAAACACTAACAACTGGCTGTGGTTCAGAACAGGACCCAGGCTCATCCTACCACACTCTAGTTCAGCTACAGGGAGACTACTCACTGTTCTCCTACAGCCACTGGAGATGGCTCCAGCCACTTCTACTTGACTCACCTAAGGTCCAACACAGATTCCAACTACATTTCTCTTTCCTCCAGCTATATGCAGACACACAAGGGAGTTGTGTAATGAGAGTGCTGCACTTCTGCTGAAAATCTCATGAGTCCTCCTCAGCAGCACACAACCATGAGGAGGCTTGGCAGACATTTTAAACATTAGGCCTAAATTCTGTATTTTTGTCTCCAAGACTGAAAGAAAACTCTTTTGACTCACACATACCAGTGACTTTATTTATTAATGTCTGTGAGACATTTATTTGAAACATGCATCACTGCCTACTTGATCTTTCTTTAGATACTCAACGTTACACAAACATTTCAGAAATTTAGAGCAGGTCTGGAAATCTCCACAAATATTGCTCCAGATTCTCTTATTGCACCATGACTTTTAATCTATCCATTCTGGATTTGTGGCATTGCAATTATAATTGTAGAAAATATGAAGTGGCCTATCTTTAGAAAAATACATTTACAGCTAACTCTTTCAAGCCATAAAAAGGCACAGTGATTATTCCAAAAAGATTCATGAATGGATTTTAATAGCCAAACCTAAAATTACAAATTTTTTTAAAAAAAAAATTCTGAACTGTTTAGGAAAATGTAAGGGAATATACAAAAATTTCAAATCTGTAAATATGACACAGAATAATTTATGACAGAAGCATACCTTTATTTTAACCTGTATGAACCTCTCACCACAATTATAATGTGTCTATTCCCCAACAGAACATGGGAAGAATTCTTAAATTAAACTTATGTTTGTATATATTTACTCTAGAAGCATTTTAGGAGGTAGCAAGAAGAAATTGATTATAAAATAATTTTGAAATATAACCTGGCAATAACAAAATGGCTTTGGCTGCTTGTCAGAACCAAATTATTTTCTGTTTTGCAGCATATGTAAAATAGTCAAATCAGAACATATTCCTGGTCCCTATGCAAGGAGAAAGAAATGGTATTAGAGCCCAGCTTCTAAAAAGAAATATCAACAGTCAAATAGCAATTATAAAAAAGCAGTGCTAAACAAAACCACACGGTATACAAACTCACATCAACATGAAGCCAGAGGCCATGCTTTTCACAGATATCAGCAATTTTATCCAGAGGATCAAATGCTCCCAGCACAGTTGTGCCTGCTGTAGCACAGACAAGAAATGGTGCTGACCCCTGCAATAGGATTCAAAACAAAAAAGAAATTATCATTTGTACTGCTCATCTCTTCCACGTATACTTGCAGAGCTAAAGTATAAAAAGATCTAGGAATGTAGGACAGAGATGTTACAATCTACATTTTAGTTTCACAGCAGAAGGTACTGCATTTAATAGTGCTGAATCTCTTTCATTTCTTTTCATTTAAAAAATAAAAAAAAAAAATTAAAAAAAAGGCATTTTCCATTTCTAGTTAACACCATCCCAGGGCAGACTGCTGAAGCTTCAGACTGTTTTGACAGATGCTAGTTTTGTCAAAATCAAAACATACCAGATATCTGACATCTCTCTTTATACACTGATTTTCAATTATCTGTCTTTCACATCTCACTACCATATTTGCTGTCATTCTGACTGATGAAACAAAGCTATTAGCTCAGCCAGCAGACTACCCATGCAAGGAAAGGGCTCATCCCCTTAGGGTTTCCACCTGCACTGTCTCTACAACACCCCTGTCCTCTGCCTGGTGAAGAGGAAGCTTCAGCTAGGGAACATGATTTCCCTTCAGCCACATCAGTACATGCCATGACAGAGTCACCTCTGCCTGATCCCACACCTGACCTACAGCTCTGTGCTATTCCCTTGCTCCCACTCCTGCCTAGGAAAGAAGAAGGGCTGTAGATGGTAACTGAATGTTAGGAGAGGAAATCTCAGACGGTGTTGAGGTCAGTCAGGTGGGATAAGGAAAGCTTTTGTCAGTTTGCAATCTCAGACAACCACTGACAGCAGTCCATCTTTGCTTCCCTTCAGCTAATAGCAGACCAGCTCATGTACCCTTGCAGATTTGATCTCTGATTTGATCTCTGTGTTGGGTCTACATAGGAGCAGAAACTGCAACAATGAGAAGAATTGGTGGCATCTGTAACAACTCCATGAAATTGAGGGTGTCGGCTGGAGCAATGACTGTGCAGTCTCATTTGCTGGTAAATGCACGCTGAAAGAACTGCTCTGCATGGTTCAGCATCTGGCCTACAGAATGGTAATGCTCTTACTGAAGAGGCACTAAAGTTTTATTAAATTGTACAAGCTGGGATCACTGAAGTTCATTTTCAGGGAATGAGATCTCCCAGATGATGTAAGTGTGTCTGCAGAGGTAACTCAATGGAGCTTTAGTGAAATCAGACATCAGCTGAAAAATCAAACTCCACACAAGTCTTCCATTTATCTTCACTTTGCTGAAATCTGATCTCTTTTTGTTTTTTGGGTTTTTTTTTAAAGTGTTGCTACCTTAAGCACCTACAGACACAGACAGGCTTGATTCACGTTTACACTCTGACAGTTTTATGCTTCTTTACAGTGTAGAGGACTGTTAGACTGGTACATAATTATGATTTATTTGTGGTTTAGGTTTTCTTTACAAATGGCTAAAGCAGTGAAAAGTTGAACTGGAATGAATTTAAATTAACCCCATATATTCACAAAGACTTACCAATCTTCAATTTACTTCTTTGTCATTTTTTCTGAGTACAAGTTACTACCATAGTTAATCAAATTTACAAATCAACCTGAAGCTTGAGTACAGAACCCTTGCAAGTGAGGTAAAGATGTATCTAATGCACCCATTTTCTCTTAGTGTTCCAAGCAATTTTCTCCCACAGCTACATCAGAGTCAAAGTTTCTTAAGCAACCAATTTGTAGCACAACTGAATACAGGGACAATTCTCAGATCTCTACAAATGCCAATAATTACTACCATTACACTTTTCCCATAAAGAAGGCAATTAAGTTTTTATTACTCCTGACAATATAGCTAAACTAATCTTCCTGCCTAAATTCTCTAAAAAGAGAAGACTCTTGCCATTCATATTCAGTGATCATTTTGTGCTTCAATCACTAGCAAATACATCCTCTGTTGTCTAGAGTCATTAGAATATTTACTGTAATTCACTGAAGTGTCCTTCTGTAAAAGTTGTAAGGTAGCACTTCAACAAGGACAGACACACTGAAGCTCTGATGAAATCCAAACTTTCCAATACACCTGCAACTTCCTTTAAAATGCAAGTGAAATCATGTTTTCCTGTAAGCAGAGCATTTTAATATAGAACATTTGTTTTTAAATTGCAGAGTACCTTACTGGGGTTGATCTTTTTAAAAAAATCTTAAATGCCAGAAGATTTCTTTCAAATGACCATTACACATATTGTTAAAAGAACAAACAAGAACACTGTTTTTGCAAAAGAGTTGATTCTCCTGCAAGCCTGCTTCCTCTTGCTTTGTGTTATTTCAGCCCTTTTTTCACCACAGCTTGCTCAAATGAATAAAGTACAGGTTGTCTTCCTCAGGAAATGCAAAGTATAGAAAGAGGCAAGAAAGTTTGCTGGGTCACTAGGGCCCCCATGCATCAGTAGCTATGCTATCCAGCATGAAACTCAAATAAGAGATGGCTGTTTGGCAGAAAATGTATCCAAATCAGAACTTACTGAAAGCTGTCATGGCCATGCCAGTGCAGGACCAGACAGGACTGCCATGGCTTTTCTATCAAAAGGTAGATTTTTCTATCTACAAAGGTAGATTTCCCAAGACAGGATTCCACGGAAGGTATCGTTCATGCCATGGACATTGCACTCGTTGTTTTGTATTCACTCATCATGGACTAAGGGCTTGGCTCTGAATTCTACTGCTCTGATGCACAAACTGGAAGTGAGAAGTAGGGTGAGCTAACCAAGCCAAAAGAAGATTCTCTTGGAAGTCACATTCAGTCCTTCAAGCTCTCTAAAATAAATTATGTTACTATAGGTAAGGGCTTTCTTACAGATTGTGGGAACGTATTATGTTAATATTGTCCAAATACACACATCAGTGCCTTTCCAAATTCTTGCCTTTGACTTTCTACTTGGCAAAGTCCCTAAGGGAAAAGAAGCACACCTCTGCACTCTTGCTAGAATAATAGAAAGGACAGAATTTAGCATTTGAAGCTTGTAAGATAGTTTTAGAGACTAAGCCACATGTTACAGTTCTTGCTCAGTGCAGAGGCAATAGAGCAATAGCTGCTGTAATTAACTGAAAAAGCGTTTTAGGAAAACATACTGCATCCATTTTAAAAAGGATCAAGGGCAAAAGAAATCCTATAAGAAATGTGCTAAGTACTTCAGAGCAGCATTGTACTTGGGACTTTCATTAGCAGTAAACACCCTGTGGAATTTTCCTCCCTTCTAAGAGTGTGGAACCCATAAGCCTTGGCTTGTTCCACAAGTTTGTGGCAAACAGATTGCACCTGTAAGAAAGACATTGTTATATCAACTACCCTGTTTTTAAGATTTTGGTCACTCTTAGTTTTCCTTTCTTTCACTCAGACACAAGCACACGGTCTGCATGCACTCCTCTCTCCTTCACACTCTCTCTCCCCCTCTCACCTCTTTCCTGGCCCGCTGGACTTGTTTCTCCAGTTCCTCAGGTATCATCTTACCTCTAAGGGACACAGATTTAAAACTTTTTCAGTTACATTCAAATAGGTTAGTTATGTACAGCACTACTGCATTTTAAAAAGGCTCAGAGATCAGAGTCATGGCTTTTGCTTTCTTACCTTTCATCTGTTTTGATAAAGTACACATTCTCTGTGCCAATACCGAGGAAGGAGGCTGCCTTCTTCATGGAGTAATGGCACTGTCAGTGAGAGAGGCACAGAAAAGAAGTACACACGCAATTAAACAAAAGAAACAAATTCCTTAACATAGGGAACAGTGACAAGTACAACAGCACCTAACAGCCATGACAACAGCTTATTCTAACACAAAAAAGCAAACTGATAAGGTATATATCACAAAGCCCACCTTGTACTTAACACACACAGAAAACTGGGGGAAATAAGACCAAAAAAATACTGTGTTCCATATTTAAAATGCAAGCTTAAGAAAAAAAAATTAGAACCTCTATTTCAAACATTTTTTCTTAGAGCTAGCTCTGCATTAGAATGAAAAGTAGAAGCTTTGAAGTGTCATCAGGGAAGAATTACGAATTGTTTCAAAATGTTTTAATAGAACTGTGTCAAAAGTATCAATGAATGTAAGAGTTAGGAAATGCACAAGGAAAAGGGTATAAAGGCTGTTTAGCTCAACAGCCTGGAAGCAATTAATTAGGTCTGTAAGTCCAAAAGCACCACTCCTTGGAAACTGGACCCTTAGTCAGGATGTATATTTGAAGCCTCTACTTTATGCTTGTAACAATTCTGTATGCTTTCTCTAATCCTCAGCTGGTGACCACTGCCAGAGACAGGATGCTCCAGAGACAGGATACTCTCCTAAACTGACCCATGGCCAACCCATGCTCACAGGACCGAGGAGCTCAAGTCTCAAGACCTACCAAAGCTTTAGATCTGGTAAAACGGGGATTTGCAAGGCTTTCAACGTCCTATCTCTGCAAAAGATCTGGAGATCATGATGGTGTGAAGATAGTTCACATGAATGAACCTTAGAAATTACTGTAAAAGCAAGCAGACCTTAGACAGGACTCAGACTTTACTGTGAATTTTGCAAAAGGTTCCAGTGTGGACCAGTTTCCATTTTTCATAAATTGAAGTTACTATTTTAGCAAAGAGTTTTAGCTGGGGCACATCACAGAGATGTATCTGAATGAGTACACAGACACATGCAGCCCACTTCACACCTTCCACTGAATAAAGGGCATCAGTCTATGAAGCCCGTGAAGTGAGTGTAAAAGAGGATTTTAGAAATGGGTGTTTATTTAATCAGAATGTGGTAAAATGACTAAGGTGAGAATGCTATTCAAACCCACAGACAGCTATATACTTTTTACAAAGTTTTTTCCTTTCAACAAATATTAATGGTTTATCTAACTATATTTCTGACATTTGTTTTTATAAGGACCTGCCCTGCTGTGGATACTGTTATTCTAGCACAAGAATACTACTTTGTCTTATTCCAGAACAAGAGTACACTCATCTTTGCTTAATTTGTCTTCAAGATTAGCCTGGGAATTCAAAATACAGTAACCTTTTTGACCCGAAGATATTTAGACGTCAAAACTGCCCACTTATAGCAGTGGAGTCACTTTTGAGAGTACACCACATCCCGTAGGACTAGACAGTTCCCAGAACCAAGACCATCCAACACTTGGATTATCACTACCCTTCACATAAAAATAAAATTGTCTCTTTTACACATTATTACTGAAGGGTTAAAATAACACATACACCAGCAAATGCAAAGATGTCTAGAATTGTTACTTTCCACGCAGGAGGTGAAGCCAGGTGGTTAATTAATTCAATTTTCTTCCTGAGAGTTCACAAAAACGCAGTTACTGCAGAACATAATTATGAAAAATGTACAACATTTTAATGTGTGGGCATGAATATATTAAGGGTATTAAAACTTGTCACGCTTATTTTGATGAGATGGATGATCTCAGAGGGCTCTTTTTCTTCTTGACAAAGAGGTTTCCCCCACCATCACCCACTTTTTAAACAAAGGCATACAAAGACATTACCTGGTGCTACTGAGTAGTTTCAAGAAAAATTAATTTGTAACATGACACATCTGCAAGGCCTTTAGGGCTCAGTCATTTAGACTGTTACAAGAATAATAACATACATAGGTGGATAATTAGTCTTACATTACACCAAATTACATCAATAAAGGTAATAATGATTGTAAGTGGCTGTGTGTTGTTCAGCAGAAGTTTGGAGATGTTTTTGACTGACTGGTGAATCACTTAAAATAGAAGTTGCCTCCATCACTGATTTCTAGCCATTAATTTCAAGTGAAAGGTATGAATCACCAAGAGTAATTAGATTGCTACAAATTGAGAAAGCAGCAGACCTGCAAATACAGTATACTAGTAAGCAGACAATCAAATTTCTTATCATTTACAAAAAGTAAATTATATATTTTATTACAAACAGTGGTATGAGAGACTGGAAGAAAGACAAAAGAGGCTTGAGTACCTGAGAGATTATATCAAAAAGTAGAGGAAAAGAGAAGAACAGAGGAAATACAAAAACAAACAGGCTGCAAGATACATTATTTTTCCTCCAGAGGTACTTCTGTACTTCTTGGAAAATTCTGTCCCTCAGTAAGACAGAAAAGAACAAGACTTATAATACTACACAGACTTGTAATATGCTTCCTTTGATAAAAAAAGTTTCAGTTACATTAATTGAAAACATGTAAGGATTTCTTTCTCCCTCTTCATTACTAGAAGCCATTATGCTAAATTGTATTGCATCATTTTAAGAAAAAAATGTACCAAAGAACATTTAGCAGCTACAGCCACAAGAGTGCCAACTAACTTTACATAATTCCCTTTCCAAAAAAGGAGAAAAAAACATCCAGATTAAAAGTGTTATCTTAGATACTGTGAGTTTAGATTACTCTTGCCATGTATTTCACAGTTTAGTTTGTTTGGACAATTTATTAAATCTGTAGCCATTTGTAGTAAGAAATTACCATCTTTGAGCACAAGATTAAATTGGTACATTGGTGCATTTAAGATGTGCTGCTTTAGTATTTTACCTGTATCTAGATGTAGTTTTCTTTTCCTAATCTTGTTTGCAAAGACAAGGTATTTTCTAACTGTGCTCATTAAAACAGAAGATAAATTTGTATTTTCTTGATTTTAAAAGGTTTCCTAGAAACATAATTGCATAAAGCAATTACATTATTATGAGATTGTTTTATTACCCATTTTTGTCTGCTGTAATTTCAACAGGGGACAACATGATAAGTTAATGTGTTCTCTCACTTTATTACTTCCATGATCAAGTTGCACTGGGGAGGAATTTAGTTTCATTTCATCTAAAAAATTTGCTCATATCAGCATGTACATTTCAACTCTTTACACATCTTCTTCTACCTTACTTAACTCAAACTTATCAGATTTCTACCCTTCAGATCAAGGTAACACATACTTGTGCCAGAACAAAGATTAGATGGGACCTCAGATAGGAAAAGGGAATAAAAAGGTGGGCTGATATCTATAACTAGAACTGTATTTATCTCCTACAGAGCCACAAATCATGCCTCCAGAAAGTGGGATATAACAATTACTCTTCTGCAGCTACTGTCTCAAGAGGAATCACTATGTAGCAGCAAAACCACTGTTCAGTGTGTATCACCAATTTTAAATATCTAAGCATTTACTTGCAGGAACAAGGAGCCTTTTTATTCCTGAAGGCCAAGCAGAATACATGAGGACCTTGGGCAGGCCATGCATTAAATAGACATCTTTATGTTATCCAAGAACATACAAAAAATACATAGCCCCGGATCACATAAGTGATTGACAGTCTGTGCATTCCCCTGCTCTGCAGCAAGGCAACCCTTTCAACCTGACAAGTGCCAAACTGAAACTTAAAAACTTAGCAAATCAAGGCAAAAATAATTTTGTTTCAGCACAGTGTCATAGCCAAGCCCTAAAATGGCACAAGGGCCTTGAATAGTCATGCCTTTTGACTCATTATCAATACTCAGTTCATTACAGCCTCATGGCTTCTCCATGCCAATGCTCTTGCCTGATTCTTGATGAAGATAAACCCAGGTTGTTAACTTCTCCAAGTTTTGGTTTACTTTTTGTTTATTTTGTTGGGGGGGGGTGTGACAATTTGCTTCTCCAGGTACCTCTTCAGTTAAAACAAAATCAACCAAAAAAATCCAACAAAAACTAATGATGTTTGGATGAGGGGATTGAGTGTAACCTCAGGAAGCTCACAGATGACACTAAGCTAAGTGGGAGATTGGTCTGCTGGAGGGTAGGAAGGATTTGCAGAGGAACCTGAACAGGCAGGATTGATGTGCCAGGCCAAGGTTGTGACATTCAACAACTCAGTGCCCACTCCTGCACTTGGGTCACAACAACCCCATGCAGCACTACAGGCTGGGGAAGACTTGCTGGGAAGTGTGGATGCTAAACGCGAAAAGCAAGAAGGGAACACAGAGCCTGTGTCAAACTAAGTCACACAAGCTTCTCACTCTGGCCTGAGAAAGCATAAGGAAGAATCCAAACAATTCTTGGAGAAAGACAGCAATCTTTGCAGGTGTTGTTTAGGATCCTTGTTGTTTCCTTGTAAGAAACAGTCAAGGAGTGGTGTCCCACTTGACCAGTGATAGTGATGTGTAAGCTCAATGACCAGTGAGATTTTTACCTCTCGGACCTGTCCATAAATGAAGATCAAAGACAATAAACTTAGCTCTCTTGGATAACACAGCTAAGAGAGTGTTGTACTTCTCACTGCTCCTAATATAGTGCGACAGCCCAGTGGACAAGGACCTGGGAGTGCTGCTTGACATCCAGCTGAACATGAGCCAGCAGAGCCCAGGTGGCCAAGAAGGCCAATGGCATCCTGGCCTGTATCAGCAATGGTGTGGCCAGCAGGAGCAGGGCAGGGATTGTCCCCCTGTGCTCGGCACTGGTGAGGCCTCACCTCAAATCCTGTGCTCAGTTCTGGGCCCCTCACTGCAGGAAAGACATTGAGGGGCTGGAGTGGGTCCAGAGAAGGGCAATGGAGCTGGTGAAGGATCTGGACAGTGAAACCTATGAGGAGTGAGTGAGGAAGCTGGGGTGTTCAGTCCAGAGAAAAGGAGGCTCAGAGGGGACTGACCTTATTGCTCTCTGCAGCTGCCTGAAAGGAGGGTGTAGCCAGGTGGGAGTCAGGCTCTTCTCCCAGGCAGCCACTAACAGGATGAGAGGACATAGCCTCAAGCTGTGCCAGGGGAGGTTCAAGCTGGACAATAAGAATTTTGCCACAGGAAAGACTGAACATTGGAAGTTCAATTGGAAGGGAGGTGGTGGATTCAGCACCCCTGGAGGTGCTCAAGAAACAACCAGACATGGCATTTTGTGTCATGGTCTTGTTGACAATGTGGTAATCAGTCAAAGGTTGAACCTGATGACCTTAAAGGTTTTGCCCAACCTAAATGATTCTTCAGTTCTGTGATTCAAAGGTGCAAAATGTTAACAAAGACTCAAAACAAAAACAATAACAAAACCCCTAAGATTGTAAGTCACCAGTACTTCTGTATTTGTCTCAAGTGTGGACTACTGTTTACATATATTCTCAATATGGCATATCTCAACAAGTTTCCAAAAGGTCATGTAGCTTGGACATGTGGATCTAAAATAAGTATAAATGAATATGTCCATTTCCTCCCTCATAACACTGAATAAACACTAGTGATCTTAGAAAATAGCCACATTATCTAGCTAGTAAAAGCATAAAAAAGCATATTAAAAGCAGTAAATGATTATTGAGTACTAAAGACTGCGTAGTTGTGTGAAGCAGACAAAGTATTAGAGATCAAAAGCATGGCCTTACAAATAATTTACCTATTTATTTTTTCTGGTCATCTCTATGTTTTATGGTTTGGGTCTTCATTATGAAGCAAAGACATAAAAATAAATTTATTCTGGCAGCCAATTAAAATTTCTTTTGACATGAAATTAAATGTTTGCTTATTTCAGAATAAGAAAATATGTTATAGTTAAACCATGCAATAAAATAAAATGTTACTTCATGATAAAAGTTTAATGGGCATCACTTCAAAAGCATTTATGGAACTTGCTTCAAACTCATTTTTTCCTCCTTAAGTATTTTGAAGATATAACATGATTAAGTATGAATTGGCATGTCATTTCATACACAAACTTTTCAGGAAAAAAAAAAGAAAATATATTTTGCAGGGCAAAAAAACAATCAAACCACCTTTATTTAGGGCATGTGGGCTCAGTTCCAAAAGACATTCATTATCTTGGAAAACTCACACAATGTCTTCATCCCTAAGGCTTCTCCAAAATAAGCCTCTCTTATTTACACTGCAAACTGTTCGGAGCATAAACGTCTAAGCTAAAATTATTCTAGTAAGTCTACATTTTCTAATACAACAAGGTTCTGTGCAGGCTTCCATGGGGGCCTTTATATAGTAGAGTCAGAATTAATAACAACTCTTCACTACTCAAAAGATAAACTCTTAAAACTGAAGGGACAGGGAAGAGAAAAATGCCTCCAAATGCTACCTTCAGAATAAATGTTTGAATGTAGCTCAATTTCCCACAGGCATTTTGGACTGATATTATTCAAAAACTTCAAAAACTGACCACGTATTTTCAATTATTTAAAGAAAAAATGTCTAAAGGTCCAGCTTTTTTTTTTTTCTGAGAGGCATATGGTGGCTTTGACTCTGTACCACAACCATCTGTATTCAGACATAGGGCAAAATGAGAGCTGCAGAGAGCCATCTCACAGGTCCACATGTACTCAGTTCCGTACAAATTAAACATGCAGAAAAAACCCTTTGACATCTAAAACCTACCTACAGTTCCTGCTAGACTTTATGCTGTGGGAAATCATATGCTGTAGACCTCCACAACACAGCACATGCATTCTGCTTCAGGTTTGCCCCATGTACAACCTGTTCTTATATCAGCAGTTTTCAAAGCAGGAACATCTGTGTTTGTTTTCTGAAAGCAAGAGAGCTTCTGCAGGGAAATTTACCATCAGACTTCTCCACTTAGCTCCAATATTCCACATCATATGCTGATGTCAGAATTATTGTACCAGTGCCCCATCAGATATGTAAATTATATAATTTTGCAGCTACCGGAATAAAAATCAAAAAACTTTTGTTTTTGTTTTACCTCTTCCGAAGCAAACAGAACTAGTCTTGGCAGACCTGAAAGCCCTTTCTCCTTTATCTCAGGGCAAAATTTGTACCTTGCTAAGTTCATAGCATACATATTAGAAACAGAGCCACCTGCAAAAAGAGACATACAAATATTGTATTAGCCACAGTATGAGTACCTTTCCTGCATCTGAGTGCTTGACCTATTAAGGGAAAAATGAACCCCACAGGCATCCTAGTGATGCATCCATCACAGTTTATTTCCTCCCCTGAAGGCTACGTACATAAAATGAACCTTGGCTTCTGCAGCAGGCATGGAAACAAAGCCTGTTCGGATGCTCTTTGGGGATATTTCCTGAGGAATAAGAGCTGCCAAATAATAATACCGCCCTTCCTGACAGAGAACACCCTGCCACAGCACCTTTCCCTCTACACTGAAGCAGAGCCAGCCCAGCTGCCTCCACCAAGCTCAGAGCCTTGGAGATCCCTTGGGAAACCAGACCTCAGAGGACCATGGGAGAAAAAGGTCTTTGGAAAAAAAAAAAAATAAAATCCAAAAAACAAACACAGTGACTGGGAATGGAAAGATCTGCAAGGTGAGATCTAGACAAGCTTTAGTCACTCAGGACAGGTTTTATTCACCTAGAAGGACAAAACCAAAGCAGTAAGAAAAACCTTTACATAAAACCAGAACCAAAACAAGGACAATTAATTTATCTTCTCTCAGTAGAATACTGTTTTAAGCCAGGGATCTGTCTGTAAAAGTAAGGGTTCTACCAAAAATACACATCAAATTTGATACGAAAAAAATACATACCAGTAATATATTTTAAAAAATATGGATTTTTAGCTTATTTATTTTTCTACTACTCATGTGTAGGCTAGAATTACTGACTGTTTCAGTTTGGGAGGGGGAGTTTAAACTCATGTACTCATTTAACTCCTCTTCTCACCCCCAAAATAGATATAAAAGCTTCACATCTAGCCCAATTATTTGTTATCTGAATAATCTGTGAAATACCACCATTATGCTTCATTATTTCAGTGCAGTGGGATGAAGTACTGCCTTACAGAACATTTGAAAAACATGGTTTATCAAGCAGCTTAAGAAATACCTGTTTGGCCTGCCTTATCATAACATTCAATAAAATTATAAAGATTCAAAGGAGTTTAGATCATGTAAGCTCATGCTCCCACAGTTCATAGGCAGGATTCACAGGTTTATGCCCTCAGACACCATGGGTTGGCATCTAGCATATAAATCAGCTCCCTGTCTGTCAGCTAAGTTGACTCTTTCCATTGAGGCTGTTGGTATTGTTAGTAAGGTTAGGAAGGACATCAGCTACAAATAATTAATTTCAAATAATTACATATAATTATATTTAATTTAGAAGTGTTTTCATTCATTCACTGGTCAGAATTGCCGAATTATTACTAGAAACACATAAGATTAGCCTAGATTAAATAGTTTTGTGTATCAGTACACTTTTGCATGCATTTTCAAATATTCTATGTGACTCCAATGTTCATAGAATTAATGGTATTAGACAGTTTACAATGACACAGCTTGAGGTCTGAACTGTTCCTACCTGGATTAAATATACCATCCCCTTCTTCCCAGCCTATGAACTCAATCATTTTCTTGATGACTGCTTCTTCCACCAACAGAAACACGGGGGATACTTCATATGTGTATCTAAAGCGAAATAGTAAATGATAATTGGTATTAAAACTACAGAATTCATGGCACAGAGCATTGCTAAAACTCGATAAAGGCTTCTTGCACCTTTGTCTAATCTATCAGCAGCTGATCACCACCAGCAGTAGGACTCTGAACTAAAAACCTTATGAATCTGATCCAGTAGAGAAATTGCTTAGTTTCTGGCAGCATCTCGTTGACACTTCCACTCTCCAAGTAATACACCAGAGTTTGCTCTTAATGTAGGTCACATGCTTAAATGTCAGCTTTACATTTGCAAGTAAACAGTGGACAGGTAACCATTTGCATTCAACTCTCTGCAGAATGCCTCAAAGGAATGGACAACTAAGTTCAGTCTGATTAATTCATTTTTATGCACTAAGTAAGGCAAAAGTCTAGGTTTAATAGCTTTGGGGGGAAAAAATCTCTCTTAAACCCCATCTTCAGCCTATCAGAATCAGCCTGTTTTCTTTTCCAATGTCTTGCACAATTCCTGCCCCTTCTGTAGCACTGAAAACAGAAATCAGAAGCAAGGAAACAAAAAAAGCTGTTCTTCCACGAAACATGTTAATTCATCATCAAGAGGACAAAGGACCACACTTACACACTGGGGTTGAGTGCTTCTGTAATGAAACGAGCCACTAACGAGTAATAATCTATTCCAGCATACAGCTGATTGAAAAATCTTGGATGATCTGAAAATAGAGATGAAAAGCAAGTGACAGGATATACCAGAAAAGATAATGCATCACACTCCCTCTCAGCTGAATGCTGATTGTTGCAAACCACAATTGACTCCATTTTCTCAGTATTCTCTGGATTTGCTGTCCTTCCCTAAAGATAGACATTCCTTTGAAAGTAAATTTAATAAGCGCTTTCAAACCTCAAAACATGTCTTGAGAAATGCAAGTGGTACATAGAATAAATGTGAGTCGTTCACAAGTCTTATAAATCAAAAAATAAAAGAGATTGACAATTGAGTATACATAGTGGCTTTAAAAAGGGGTTTTAAGAGGCCGCAGTTGATGCTCAGCCAAATTTTGCTAAGCAGCAGAATGCAGGAACCAGCTGATTCCAAGCAGCTGTGCTTCTTCTCCCACCAAAGTCTCAACACAGAGAGAAAGGCACTCTAACAGCTTGGAAAAATTTGCTGCATACTTAAAATGAATGAAAAGTTAAGAGAATTTGTTTACCTGCCTTGAAACACTGAGATATAAATAATTTTGACAAAATCCTACATTATTTCCACCTATAAAAACAACTCAGCTCAACAGTGGGGTCAGCATCTAAATTTTAATCCATAGCACAGCATTTTTACATGCAAAACCAGATAAACAGTATGCCTCCATTTATATTATATGTAGGGCTTCAATAAATGTCTATATTCCAAGACTATTTGCACAGCATATTTTTATTTACAACATCCTTTCTAAGGTGACATAATGTAACAAATTATAATCTAAAGTCAATTTGCAAAAGTAAGATAAACAGAACATCTTCCAGTAACTCAGTAATTATATCTGCATATTGTTATTACTCTACCTCTGCAGATCAGTATCACTACTCTTTGTGGTTTTCAAAGGTATAAGTTCCTTCTCAAAATTATTTTACAGTTTTACTCCTCAGCAACAGTGACTATAGCAGGGAACACAGCCCAGAAATGCACAACTAACTATATCAAATGTTCTTTCTTACTTACCAAAATACAGCCTAAGCCCTACAACATCTGAAATCCTGAGCTACTGATTCACAGTGCTGTTTCCTGAACAGATGTTGTTCATCTCTTTTTACCAACATTGAATTACCCTGCACATGCTGCAGAAAGGTTAGCTGTAGAGAACTAATCCTGCAGAGCTGTGGCATACTGTCTCTGAAACACTGCAGGCTCTCTTCTCATGGTGTCTGGAACAGGAATTACTGCCTATCAGCAAATTAACACCCTACAAGAGTATTGCTCAAATAGAACAATAATAAATGGAGGGTAATCATCACTAAGAACATATGCAGGCAATGATGGTGACTCCAAATCTCATCACTCAGACAGCAGGAAATCACAAAAAAAGGACCGTCTCCTGCTTATTTTGCTAGACTGCTATACCATTTGTCTAGGTGACTTTCCCAGGACTTCAAAGTGACAGAATCTACTATTAATGCAAATGGCATCACCTTAATTGTTTTTTGATTAGTTTTCCAGTTTTACATATTTCAGTCAAACCAGTGGTGACCAGAATTCAGTCAAACAACTGTTTGCACACTTGTATAGGCAGGAGGGAAACAAACATTCACATTCACAGTTCCCTGAAAGGTGACAGAGCTTTGTAAACATTATCTCCTCCAAGCATGCAGAGCAGCTATGCTTAAAACCCCATTCTTACTGGTTTTGACGCTGTATTTTATAACATCACGGCAGAGCTGCAGGATCTTCTGATGACATTCTCCAGTGTCCCTCATTTCCAGGTCAAGAATCTGCTTAAGCTTTTCAGGGGCTTGCCATTCACAGACCTAGTGATGGGGAGCAGGGCAGACACCACCAGTGAACGGCTTAGCCAGGAGCAAGAGGTTATAGAGGTACAAAGTAATCACCCCATTCAGCACTGCTTTCGCAAAACTTCCCATGGCAAGGCAGTGTGCCACAGGAAAATATATCCAGTGAACTGGCCTCATGGGATGTTGGTTCTATCATGTCTCAGGCAACACTCAACCATAAACATTAGAGTGGGAAATGCTGAAAGGCAGAAGAAAGAGGCCTGCTGAGTTCTTAGCTAAGGATTTGTAATCACAGCACTTTTAGATGCTCTTCTGCCAAGGGGTGGGAGCAAGCAGTGCATGCCCAAAGGCAAGCATGGTTTATTTGCAGGACTTCTTCCCATACAGCTTTCTGCAGAACCCACAGCAACCTTCTAATATTGCCCTTTCAATGTGCTACCACACCCACTTTCTTCCTTCCCAGTACCCCTTGGGAGCAAACAAATAACTCAACCCACTCCAAACGTGAAAAACACTACAGCCATTTGAGATCTCAAAGAAAATGACCTTCGTATTCTGAGATAAAAAAACACCATAATTTTCTGGCAGTTATGTATGCTAATTATGCTATTGGAAGGTTTTATAATGCATTCTTTATTAATTTGTAAGGCTGTATTTTATTTTGAAGCCAAGTACAGACTAGAAACAATTTTCAGGCTACTTAGAGTGCAATAAAATACAGCTTATAAAAAATTGATTTATTGTTCATCTTCACAATGAAGTCTCAACAACTCTCTATGGCTTTACCTTTTCTGTTACATCGTCCGCTTTCTGGACAACTTCTTCCATTATAATCTGACAGGCCTCTTCCACGAACTTCTCTCCTGCTTTTGAGTCCATTATTGGACCATTTAGAATGACCCCATCCACCAAAACAGCATTCTTCTTCTGGAGAATCTCCTGCTTGCAAACACCAACTGTAAGAGAAAGGACTCATCATTAAAACAAGGATAAATAAATAATAAACTAAAAAAATATTCTTTCACTTCTGGAGATTTAGTCACCCTAAGAAAAAACTCACATAGACTTTTTATCTGCACAAAAACCCTAGATTTTGGTGGAAGAACCTTTACAGAAAAAAAACCAAAAAAACCACAACACATTACTTCAAACATAGACTGTTATTCTGTAGGCAATAATAGCCTACTTGTATTGTATCTACTGCTTTCTCTAACATACAAAAGCATGCAAGGGACCTTCCAAACACAGAGGAAAATAGAGTTCTGGCTTAGAACATGTTACAGCTGTATAAATAGAAATACAGAGAAAGATAATGGGCTTTTTTCTTAGCTGAAAATGTTTCCCTCCGCAAGCCATCTCTCTGCTCCCACTTTTTCATGAAATAACTCTCAGCTTTGTTTCCTGCATCTTTATGCTGCTCCTTCCCACCAGCCAATCCTCTTGCTCAGAGTCTTCCACATCCTTTGCAGTGCTTCACTGACCCACACTCCATGAAAATAAAACCTTTTGATGTAACATTCCTGTACTTCTTTCTGCCCTTATTCTGTTACGTGTCCTCAGCCACTAATTACAATAATCTGCTGGGCAGATGATCTTGTTTATTCCTTGGAAAGAGATCCAGTGATGATCTCTTTCCCCTCTCTCACATTTACCCACGAGACATACTCTCCTGATGTGTTCCATGAACACGTTTTTACTTCCTCCTTTACACTACCCCTGAAAGCTCATCCAAGACACTTGTAAGACACTGGCCAACACCGGCAAGTACGTATCTCTTTCATGTATTGATTTCATACTGCAAGATCAGGACTCTGGTTTTCATCAGCATGAGGATGAAGATGAAATTGAGACATTTGGAGATATCAAGGGAATAGATATTTGAAACAGAACCGTGCTGAAAGGAGAAGCGGTAACTGCGGTAGCCAAATTATCTGGGTTACAGGCAGTATCTGTTCACTGATCCTGCTTTAGAATAACTAAGATCTATAAAGCCAGGCAGCACACTGCCACCATGGGTTGTCTTCATTTAGAGTGAGGATGGTGCAAGGCTGGGGTGTATGGAGAAAGTTCTATGCCTAAAACAGCTTTATCTTATTGCTTTACTTTTTGCTCCACTTACAAAGTAGAAAAGACAGGTGGCTCTTTCACAGGTATAAGGAGCTGAATTTACAGAGGACTGCCAGGCACTTCAGTCTGACACATCCGTCATGCTTATCATAATTACAGCTCCTCATGCACAGGAGGACATAGAAGAACAACAACACTGCTTAGAAATGTGCATCACTTCAAGGTCCTTAGATTGAAAGAAACCCTACTAATCCCATGAGCTTTTATTTTCTGGTGACTCAGAGAAGCTATTCAGTTCACTTTGACTTATCGGGAGAGATAAGTCAAACAAGATAAAATTCTAACATGATATGGGACCTCACACTTCTCATAATACTTTGCCAACAAAAATGACCCCCTGCCTTGCATTTGTGAAATTACTTCTATTTTTAATCCAAATGGGCAGCATAATAATTTTTTCTGAACAGAGTAGCCTTCAGCCCATTGTTATAGGAAAGTCATAAATGTTCTTACTGGACAGATGGAGAACAAGCAGGCAAACAGTATTAAATCTTCAACAGGCAAAGAGGGAAAATCACAGACATTAAAAATGTCAATTCTCATCATACTTTCCAGCACACCACAGGAGAGGCACTGTAAAGAAACTGCAGCTTTGAAAAAGTCTTAGATGTTTATCTCTGGAAACACAAGCTAGTAGGTCAACTTTACAAGATTTAAAACCCTGGGTATTATTGGGAAATGGAAGGTATCAGGGCTTTGGGCAGAGAGAACAGAGACTAACTTTGTGTTGAGACTCAGTTATTTTATGCATAAATAGCTGCCTTAAGTACTATTCAGAGTTTAACACAAACACAAAAAAGAATTTCAACTGAACATCACCTGGAGAGTCTATGATCTTTATGTACACCAAAGGTGTTTTGTTTCTACAAAAAAGAAGACAGTATCTAAAGAAAAAAACTATGTGGGAGATTAGTATCTATTGCAGAGCACAGATATTGATACTTCCTTTGGTTACAAGCAGAGTAGATGGCAGAGCAAGAGAACTCACTCTTAAACTCCTTTTGTTGTTTGTTCGTTTGCTTGGGGTATTTTTGTTGTAGTTTGGTGGATTGGTTTGGGGTTTTTTGTTCTTCTTCAAACTCCCAGGTGTCTGCTAGAAGCAGAGTTGTGAAAAAGGTTTCTATTGCTAACTCCCTTAGCCCTATTCCTGTTACTTTTGCTTAGAGATAAGATCTAGTACTTCCATGACCTTACAATGATCTTTTTACAGGAATTCTGCAAAAGCAGAACTTTACACTACTTTTTCTACCAGGTCTTCAGGGAACTGAGTCATAGCTCTAAGAGCTTCCTGTTTGAAGAAGGCCTGTTCACCTCTATACACAGTTTTACTGTCTGCCTAGGATGCTTTGTGGATCCTGAGGAGGAAGATATGATCTGGGAAATGGGTGATGGTCTACCCCTAGTCCCCACATCTGTTTTGGAGCTTGAGCACAGTCTATGAAAGAAAGGCAAAGCAGAGAGATTAGAAGGAAGGGATGAAGACAGCATTCATTGCAACAGCATTAAAGCTCCAGCAAAGAGTTTGTAACTTTGCCCATATTTTATTTCATGTAATAATACTCCTTGCAATTATTTACCACGTCCTCAATAATTTTTTGGTTTTCACTTATAATTTCAATCTGAATTTGTTGCAAATTCTTCCCTGGAATATACCATAAAACCATTGAAATTAGCAGAAACAATTATTTCACAATCAGGTGCTAAATCAAGCCCCAAGCACAAATATTTTTCTGAGGTAGTCTTCAGGTTTTGGAAGCCACTACTGGATACACCCACTCTTCTCATACCTCTTGGTCTTTCTGCAACTGATGATACTTAATCTTCTACTTGTAATTGTCTGACTTCTGCAGTTCTTATGAGATGACCAAACTCTTCTCTATCAAAAAATTAATGTGTTTCCACTTGCAGTAAAACACTGAAGAGGAAAATTAAGTAGATTATAAACCTCTGAAATTCTAGAACATTTTTTTCTTTTTATCACATTTTTTATAAGAGGCCAATGAACAATTTATTATGCTTTAGAAGTGAACATCCAGAAAGACTCCAGGTTCACTTTCTATGTCACATTTAAGCAGATGCCTTTAACACATTCTCAGAGCTCAGCATCCAAGCTAAGAAACACACACTATGCTGACAATGCATGTTGTCTCTTATAAAAAAAAAATAAAATCATTCATCAAATGCTCACATCATTTTACAAAAATGTTGGGCCTTTTATATGTCTCAAACACACCTGATTGCACTAAAGGAACATCACCTTCTTTGAAGTGGGAAAGCCCACTCCATAGAAATGGCATCTTGTCACATACACATCTTTTGTTTTCAAATATGATAGGGAAACTATCTAGAGATGTGACTGTAATAAATATGTTCTTTCCTATTTGAGAATACAGAAACACACTCTGAAGCAGACTCGGAAAACAGACTTCCAGAAAATACATCAAATACAATTTCAGGCAAATGGCTCCAGGCTTGAAAGAGAACTAAAAACTTAACAAATGGAAGTGCTTTAACACAGAGATTAAGAATTACTGACTCTTTAAGATACCCTTCTGCAAAAGAGAAGACTCAATTCTGCTCCAGTTGAAGGCAATTGGGCATTCAGCCACTGGCTTCAGCAGCAGCAAAATCAAGTACATAATTCTCATATTTCATCCTGAAAGAAATATTCTATTACAGAAGCCTAAGTATTTCCAACCAGCATTTCATTTTTATGATCAATATTATTTCCCCAGCAGCAAACATAAATTAATTGGAGCTGGAATAATGTACAGAAAAAAAAAGAAACATTTTTTCAGATGTTTCTATATCTTTACGTAAGTACTACCATATATTTTAAAAGCTTCATCTGTGTTTCCATATTTGACTGCTAAATCCTTGCACTACAAAAAGAAACTGAAGCATTGTGCTTCTAACAATATTTGGGAAAGTAGCATGACCAGAAAGATTTACTGCTTGCAAGGCAAATGAGGAAACAGAAAGGGGTTCTTGTGAAAGAGTAGGTTGTGCTCAAATGCCAGAGCCAAATCCTGTATTAGCACCACTGACTATTCAAGGGAATGCAAAAACCTGGCTTTGACCAAAGGCCTATTTATGCTTTGTAACAAATGCAGAAGTAATCGCCAGCGTCAATCAGAAAAAAGAAATTACATTTCTCATTCTGTATGATCTGGTCATGTGTCTTCTTTTAGTGTGTCCAGTAAAAGAAAATAAGCGTCAAGACTCCATTCCACCATGTTTAATAAATTACTGTGGTGCCATATCGTGTATCAAAGCATTAAAACACATACTTGTCCCACACTATACAGCTATTTGAGTCCCTTGGTATAAATAATCTTTAAAGCCACTTCTGTTTCTTTAATCACTGCTTTCTGTACATACGAATAAAGTAAAGCCACTCCAGTCTTAAGGCAAAAATACATTGTTTCTTCATAAACTGATTTCACAGGCCTGTCTCCAAGTAAAGGAAATGCAGTTTTCTTAAAATCCAGTATATAAAATTACTCGTTGTCCTAGAAAAGCTATCCACATGAAAAAACAGAAGTAGGCATGGGTATGGTAGGGCTTATGCAATTCCCCCTATATTATATATTCTTGTTTTGCAGATTTATGGACCAGGCATGTGGACAGAGAACAAGCTGGGTGCTCCCCCTCAGAAGGTCTGCAACAGCCACCCCCACACAGGAATCCTCTGACTGTGAAAGGGCAAATGTGACCTTTATAGAGAAGGACCCAAGGAAAACAAAAGTGCTTGTGTCTGGGCTCCAAAATCCCTGAATAGACTCATTGAACACACTGCTAGCACTAAACAGTAGCAGCACAACAAATG